ACAGAGATTAGATCCCCTGGAGAGAGTGGCTGCTTTGGAGGCTGGATTCTGTGGCGTTATACCTTCCTGCGGTCCTTCCCCTCCCCCCACCCTCCTCAGGCCCCACCTCCCAAATCTCCAGGCATTTCCCACCCCAGAACTGGCAAACCCTAAGCCAGTTGCTTCATTTACACAATTAAGGATCCTTGTGCTGTGGTGACAGTTGCTGCCAAAGCATCGTTTTTAAAAGTCTGTAAAGGTAAAGGCTAGTCGAATCCGACTCTAGGGTGCGGTGCTCATCTCCGTTTCCAAGCCGAAGAGCCAGCGCTGTCCGAAGACTTCTCCGTGGTCACATGGCCGGCATGACTAAATGCCGAGGTGCACGGAACGCTGTTGCCTTCCCAGCGAAGCGGTACCTATTTGTCTGCTTGCAATTTCTTGCTTCCGAACTGCTAGGCTGGCAGGAGCTGGGGCCGGAGACGGGAGCTCACTCCGTCACGCGGCACTTGGGCCTCGAACTGCCGAGCTACCGGCCTTCCAGTCTGCAGTTCAGCGTCTTAACCTCTGAGCCACCGCAGCCTTAAAGGTGTGTACAAGCCGATCAAAAACCTTGCTGGGCAAAAACCCCACTTGGCCCCACCCCATTTTCTAAAAACACTTGGTGGGCACCAAATTGGGGGGCGCCCTGCAGTAGAGCATCGGGCTAACACAATGCAAACACTTTTCCAAGAAGGTTCGGTCTGTGTGTTGTTAATGAACGCAGCAGCCAGAGTAATTGCAGGATGTTCTTCCATTCTCCCCAAAGCATTTTAATGCATTACTATGGAACCCCTTGCTGAAATATCCTGGCCGGGGGGGGGGGGGGGGGGGGGGAGACATTTCTCTGTCTTGCATCTTCTTTGATCAGTTCTTGTGTAACTGGGACACAATCCAGATATCTCTATGTCAGCTGAGCGCAGCTCCTCTGGGGGCGTGGGTCAGGGTGCTCTGTTGTTTATCAGCAGCATTGGCTGGGCTGTGCATCAAAGGAAAGCCGCTGCGTGGCTTAAATCCCTCCAGAAAAATGAAAAAGTGTTTCTGGGTAACAGAGTCCTGTACTTTTCATGGGAGCGCCTCCCCCCAGAAAGGCTGCACAGATGGAAGTTATCTTGGAGAGTAGGGATAGGCATATTTTCTTTTTTAAAAAATGGGCATCTTTCTCGATTTCTTTCTGCACTCTGCAAAATGCAAATGGCCGAGCCCAAGAAAGGACTGTACCACTTCAGGCTGTGGACATGAGACTGTCAAAAGTTCCGTTAAGGGACCCAGGGAAATGCTGATTGCCACTTTGGGGCCAGGAAGCAATTTTTCTCCAGGCCAGTTAGGCTGGAGATCCTGGAGGTTTTAGCCATCTTCTGGGCGTGGAGCAGGGGTCACTGGGGGCGTTGAGGGTGTGTGTGTTTGTGAATTTCCTGCATTGTGCAGGGGGCGGGACTAGATGACCCTGGAGGTCCCTTCCAACTCTGTGATTCTATGAACCTAGGCAGGAGGAAAACAGAAAATGCTGGGGAGTGATCTCCTTTCCCTTCCCTGCCCCATGACAGACACCCTGTGAGGTAGGCGGGGCTGAGAGAGTTCTTTCGAGAACGGCTCTTGAGAGAACTTGTGACTGACCCACGGTCACACCAGCAGCTGCATGTGGAGGAGTGGGGAAATCAAACCTGGTTCCCCCAGATTGGAGTCCGCACTCTTAACTGAGGAGGGCGGGAGTTGGGGATAGGAGGGATTTCTTTGGGGTGTAGTATCATGGAGTCCACCTTCCAAAGTGGCCATTTTCTCCAGGGGAACTGATCTCTGTTGACCAGAAATCGGTTGCAATCCAAGGAGGTCTCCAGCCACCAACTGGAGGTTGGCAACCCTCATAGCAAGGTGGGGATAGGCTTTCTGAGTGCGTCTCTGCCACTTGCGGTGGGGGAGGGGAACAAAGGCAGGTGCCCGGCTTCCCCTTTTTTAATCTTTTTAGGATTAAGGGTTTCTTGACTTTGGAGAGAGGAGAATTCTTTGGAAGGACTGGCTGGCAACAGAGAGAACCCTCTCATGAGCTGGGTTTGGAAGGGTCTAAATAATAAATTCTCAGTGTTATGCCCATGGCTCCACAGATGGGTTTCCTGGCAGCTGTTTGCGGCTTCAGCAGGGCCTATCTTCTCCAAGGTAGATAGCTAAACTTGGCTTTCTTCTCCCTCACTCGAATGTCAGAAGAACCCAGGAGACATCTCATTTGTCTCTGCAGGGGAGCACCCGTTCAGGAATGGCTGCCTCCATCACAGAAGGGCGGTTGGTTTGGAACTTCCCAACATTCTGTGACTGGCCTTAGCGCCTCAGGGCAGCCATTTTCTGATTGCCCCGTGAGGTAGCCATTTTGTTGCCGCTCCTCCCACTCCTTGGTCTTGAAATTCTAAAAGTGCTCATGGGCTCAACAAGATTGGGCCCCTGGTCTAGACCAATGCTTGTCTCTAAGCTGTGGAGTCTTGTGAGCAAGAATTCTACTTGGTGAGCTACTGGCATTAAAGTGGTGAGCGAGCGATTTGGCCGCTGCGTCAGTTAGTTTGCTCTGGAGCCCCATCCTTCCTGAGCGAAGGCAAAAAGGTGTGAGCCGGAGGGTAAAAAACTGTGAGCTAACAGCGTTCCGTGCGCCTTGGTGTTTAGTCATGCCGGCCACATGACCACGGAAACGTCTTCGGACAGCGCTGGCTCTTCGGCTTTGAAACGGAGATGAGCACCGCAACCCTAGAGTCGGATTCGACTGGCTTTCGAGCAAGGGAACCTTTACCTTTACTTTAGCTCACACTAACGCAGCTTAGAGGGAACCCTGGTCTAGACCCATGGCCTTCATCTCATTCAGGAACTGACATCTTGCAGCTTCTGGGCTAGGTGCAGTCCGAGAAGCAATTATGTTCGATTCCTTGTTGCCTTACTCAGGTTCACTCAAGCTATGGTAAAGGTTTGCCTGTAGTTTCGCTTGTGAAGAAGAAGAAAGGGGGAAATATTTTATGCTGATATGGGTTAACACAGTAGAAAAGAGTAACAGTCCAGTAGCACCTTAAAGACTAAAGAGCTAGTTTGGCGTAGTGGTTAAGTGCGCGGACTCTAATCTGGGAGAACCGGGTTTGATTCCCCACTCCTCCACTTGCACCTGGCTGTATGACCTTGGGCAAGCCATAGTTCTGTCAGAGCTGTCCTTGAAAAAGAGCAGTTTCTGCCAAGAGCTCTCTCAGCCCCACCTACCTCACAGGGTGTCTGTTGTGGGGAGGGGAAGGGAAAGGAGTTTGTAAACCGCTCTGAGACTCCTTTAGGTAGTGAAGGGCAGGGTATTAATCCAATCTCCTCTTCTTCTTTTACCTCACAGGGTGTCTGTTGTGGGGAGGGAAAGGAGTTTGTAAGCCACTCTGAGACACCTTTGGGTAGTGAAGGGTGGGGTATAAATCCAATCTCTTCTTCTTCTAACAAAATTTGTGGCAGCGTAGGAGCTTTCTTGAGTCACTTCTCAGTTCTTCAGTTGGCTTAACACAGTATTGCTCACCCAGTGGTTCCAGAGCTATATGTGGGTCTTTGACATGACTCCTGTTACACTGAGAGTGACTAAAATGTGGTATTTGCTGCCAGAGGATGTAGGGATGGCCACAAGCATAGACGGCTTTAAAAGGGGATTAGACCAATTCATGGAGGAGAGGTCTATCAGTGGCTACTAGCCATGGTGACTGAGGGGAACCTCCACATTCAGAGGCAGTCAGCATCTGAATCCCAGAGCCAGGAGGCAACATCAGGGGAAGGCCTCGGCCTCTATGCCTTGTTGTTGGACCTCCACTGTGTGAGACAAGACTAGATGGACCACTGCTCTGATCCAGCAGGGCTGTTCTTCTCAGGGGAGGGCCTCGGTCGGCCTTTACGCCCTCTGGTTGGCTCTCCAGAGGAACTGGTGAGCCACTGTGTGGCACAGGATGCTGGACTAGATCAGCCCCGTAGCTAATGAGTTTTGGGGGAGGGGGCCGGGGGGGCCACCAGTCAATTAAACCAAAGTTAATTAAATTAACTTTGATTCAATTGGTGGAACTCATCGGACACAGTCGGGATCTCCAGCAGCACTGCATTTGGTTACCGGGGATCTTGTATCCCAGTCTCCCTTCGGGAACGGAGAAAACTTTCTTGCCCGTAGCTCCTCCGAGCCTGGGGCTGAGAAGCAAGAGAAGTGAAACTGACCAGAGCTGGGCATTGAAATTGACCTTGGCTGAACAGACCCACTGATATCTGCTGGCTCTTTGGAGACCGGGGTAGGTGGGTGGGTGGGATCGGGAGGGAAGCTTTGCCTTCCCAGTTGTGATCCCGAAGAAAGATCAGGAGGATTTTCGACCCTCCGAAGCAAGCCTCCGCAGTTTCTGCTGCCTGCTGTTTTCCCTCCCAGCTGCTCCTTTCGCACTTTCTCTCTTCCTCAGGAATGTTTATGTGGGAAGGGCCGCCTCTCGGACTGGTGGAGGCATTCTGGAGGCAAGGAGAGAGCAGGGTGCGAATGCCTCCTCCTCCTTGCAGGAGCCTGGCCGGCCGTGGCAGGGAATGAGGGAGGCAGGCAGCCAGGAGCAGCAGCAGGCGGCACGGAGTCACTGGCTGCTGGGCTGAGGGCAGTGATGGGGGGAGGGGAAAGCCGAGAATTGGGGAGGGGCCTGTAAAAACCATGGGGGGGCGAGCCCCATGGGCCCCACGGTAACTACGGGCCTGTACTAGATGGACCACTAGTCTGATCGGGCAGAGCTTATGTGCCAACTTTTATTTTGGAGCCCGGGAAAGGTCAGTGTGTGGAGAAAAATACATATCCTGTTGTTCTGGATAATAAAGTGGCTCTTCAGTATACGGATGTTGGGCCATCACTGGTCCTAGCTATTATTAGGATAACCAAGCTTAAAACTGCAAGACCCTCCCCACTTTTTTCGGGTACGCTATGGAGATTATTAGCCCTGCCAACATTCTTTCTTTCTCTTTTGTTTCTGCAGACCTCTACCTTTCCTGGGAAACCGAGTGAATCACAGTTGCTATGGAGAAGATCAGAGAGCAGTTTTCCGGTCTCCGAATAGCGAGACGGAGCACGCGAATGGAAGACCCAACTTACTTGTTGGACATCGATGTTTCCAGAGGAGAAGGAAGCCATTTAGTAGCTGCCTCCCACTCCAACAAATCAATTGGCGTTTACGATAGAGAGACACTGAGTTTGCTGTGGGAGTATAGTAGCCATCCCGAATTACTCAGTGGGGTCAGGTTTGCGCATGAGCATGCATACATGCTATTTTCAGCCTGCAGCGATGGAACGGTGAAATGTTGGGATACGCGTTCAGCTAGTTCTGAAGCCGCCCGGTTGTTTTGTGGCTATCCTTCGAACACTTTCATTAGCTTTGATGTCAACTGCAACGATCTCATTGTTTGTGCCGGCACGGAGAAGGTGCATGAAGACGTCTTCATGGTCTTCTGGGATGCGCGAGGTGGCACCAACAGTGTCCCTTTCAGCGAAAGCCCTTTGGGTGCGTATTCAGAGTCTCACAGTGATGACATCACGAAAATCTGTTTTCAACCCGGCCAGCCAAACCTGGTCATTACGGGGTCAACGGACGGGCTGGTGAACGTCTTTGACCTTAACCAGGACAACGAAGACGACGCCTTGATTTCAACCTGTAACTCGGGCTCGTCCGTCAGTTTTGTCGGATGGTCTGGAGAATATTTTCAGCAGGTCTACTGTTTGACGCACGACGAGGGTTTTTCCTGGTGGGATCTCGCTCAGCTGGATACCGAGGAGCCAGTTACGCTGCTGAAAATCCCAGACGCTAGGGAAGCGGCCAGCCTGGGGAAGACCGAGCTGAACTACTTGATTGGCGGCTTGTATCACGAGAAGTCAGACCACCTTTTCGTTCTTGGAGGAACGTCAACGGGAAGCCTCCATCTCCTGGGCTGTGGCACTGACGGTCTGAGTCCGGTGGGAACCCTTCAAGGAGGGCACTCGGCTGTCGTCCGCTCTTTTTACTGGAACATGGCGGACGATTCGTTGTTGACCGGTGGAGAGGATGCTCAGTTGTTGCTATGGAAACACGGAGCTGTGGAGAAGGCCCCCGGGAAGAAGACTTCCATGAAAATGGCCTCCTCTGTTCACCAGCGAGTGAGAGCTCACCAGAACCGTTTCAAAAGGAAGAAGAAATGAGTATCTTTAAAGCTTCCATGAAAATGGCCTCCTCTGTTTACCAGCGAGTGAGAGCTCACCAGAACCGTTTCAAAAGGAAGAAGAAATGAGTATCTTTAAAGCTTCGGGGGAGGTCCCGTTGGGATTCACTTTTTTAGGCGATGCAACTTTTAAAGAAGGGCTGAGTCACTTGCCAGCGTGTTTGTCAGATGTGGCTTCTATGCACATGCTAACACCCCAGGTCCTGAAAATGTTTATTCAGAGACATCCCATTGGTGGCGGCGGGACCTTCGCTTCCTTCCTTTTCATGTGTTTTTTAGGACTGCAGCCTCAAGAAGGGAAAATGTGCTGAAGGATTCTTTTCAAGCCCTGTTTTCCTGTGGAAGGTCCTTGTGACATGTTCGCTTTTTCTTCCATGTTTCTACAGTCTCCAAGTTTTAATTTTGGCATTTGAGTTTCTGTGAGAAACGCAAAATATAAATGAGATTAAAAAAAAATTAAAAATAAGCCTTGTGCTTGGTGGTGGGGATGATTATGCTAACAATTAGGGAGGTTTTTGGGGAGGGGAGGGACTTCAGGGGGGGTTATGCCGTAGAGTGCACCTTTCCAGAGCGGCCATTTTCTCCAGGTGACCTGATCCCTGTTGCCTGGAGACAGGCCCGTAGCTACAGTGGGGCCTCTCGGGGCTAGGCCCCCTAACTTACCGGCAAGGCCCCATGACTCCCCATCCAGCCCAGGGCCCCCAAGCAGTAGCAGGTGCGGGGAAGGAGCCCGGGTATTCCTTTAATTCGATTAGCCAGTGCCCCCGAAGAAATTTAAATGTCCCCCGACTTAAAATATCCTGGCTACGGGCCTGCCTGGAGATCAGTTATAATAGCGGAGGATCTCCAGCCACCCCCTGGAGGTTGGCAGCCTTACTTAGCGATCCTGTAAAACAGTAAATCACCGTGTACAATTAAACAATATTTGTTAGTTTTTATATGCTATGCGTAGAATTCAATTCTTAACAAGATTACAACGATATCACTACGGTATAAGATATAAAGCTTAGCAGTACATACAAAGTAATACAGTTACTAGTTACAGAAACAATTAAGACAAACGACGGAGTTCTAGTACACTATCCGTTTGCGTGTCCTTCATCAGGTTTGTCATTCTGTCGTCGTGTCTTCACAAGCATGAAGTGCTGCAAGCCATATTTCAAAATGCTAGTTCTTATACAGATTTTGATGTACGCTACCGCGCTTAGGTTGTGGTGACTGGGGAGCTCCTTTAGCAAGCTCTAATGTGACTGGGTCTACAGCATATTGTGATTGGCTAAGCTACAGTGGGGCCTCTTGGGGCTAGGCCCCTGACTTACTGGCAAGGCCCCACGACCTCCCATCCAGCCCAGGGCCCCCAAGCGGTGGCAGGTGCGGGGAAGGAGCCCGGGCTGAGAGAGCTCTGACAGAAACGGCTCTTTTTCAAGAACAGCTGTGCCAGAGCTACGGCTTGCCCAAGGTCATCCAGCCAGGTGCACGTGGAGGAGTGGGGAATCAAACCCGGTTCTCCCAGATTAGAGTCTGCAAACTTAACCACTACGCCAAACGGGCTAAAATACCTCAAAAGGTACTAATGTAGAAATGGGGTTAAGAAAGAAATCTCTCCCTCCTCCCCTCCCACCCTGAGTTTCAAATGGACGAAGGATGTTAAAAATATATGGACTTAGCTTTTCTTTTCTCTCTGTTTCATGCAGTCCGATGACCCAACTATCTTGCACAAACTTTGTGTTTCTCTGGCTGGGGGCAAACGAGTTTGGTAAAAGCAACGTCTCTTAAAATGGAGGCTTTGTTCCCGTCTCTGGCTGTGATTCTTCTACTGCAGAACATGTGAGCTTTTGCTAGTAGCATCAGAGCACCCCCTCGGGTTAAAAAACACTAGGCGCATACAGCATTGATTCCATGGTTGGCAGGAAGTCTAAAGCGTTGTCATTGGCCAGGCCCAGTCTGATGCTCAGGGTCTTGCTTGGTTGGAAAAAGAAGAGGGGGAGGAGATTGGATTTATACCCCGCCCTTTACAGTGCGGCTTGCAATCTCCTTTCCCTTCCTCTCCCCACAACAGCCACCTTGTGAGGTTAGGTGGGGCTGGGAGAGCTCTTTCTTGAGGACTGCTCTTTCCAGAACAGCTCTGAGAGAACTGTGACTTGCCCAAGGTCACTCCAGCAGCTGCACGTGAAGGAGTGGGGAATGAAACCTGGTTCTCCCAGATTAGAGTCTGCCACTTCTGACCACTAGAAGAAGAGAAGAAGAAGAGATTGGATTTATACCCCGCCCTTCACTTGGAGTCTCAGAGCGGCTTACAAACTCCTTTCCCTTCCCCTCCCCACAACAGACACCCAGTGAGGTGGGTGGGGCTGAGAGAGCTTTTGACAGAAAGTGCTCTTTTTCAAGGACAGCTGTGCCAGAGCTTGTCACTGACCCAAGGCAAGGTCACATCAGCAGGTGCAAGTGGAGGAGTGGGGAATCAAACCCGGTTCTCCCAGATTATAGTCCGCGCACTCATCCACTACACCAAACTGGCACTACACCGAACTGGCTCTCTGTTATCCTGGGGGAGGGGCCACGTCTCAGCGGTAGAGCATCTGCTTGACCATGCAGAAGGTCCCAGGTTCAATTCCCCAACAGGTAGGAGGTGATGTGAAAGACCTCTGCCTGAGACCCTGGAGAGCTGCTGCTGGTCTGAGTAGATAAGACTGACCTTGATCGACCAAGGGGTTGGCTCAGTATAAGGCAACCAGGAAAGGGTCTTGGCTCAGTGATAAGTAGGGTTGCCAATTCTGTGTTGGGAAATACCTGGAGATTTCGGGGGTGGAGCCTGGGGGTGCAGGGTTTGAGGAAGGGAGGTATATTGTGGAGGGTATTGTGCCACAGAGGTCACCCTCCAAAGCAGCCATTTTCTTCAGGGGAAACGATCTCTCTCGTCTGGAGATCAGTTGTAATAGCGGGAGAGCTCCAGGCCCCACCAGGAGGTTGTAGAAACAACAGAGAGATCACGGGAAGGGTGCAAACAATGAAGAAAACAGCTGTGATGTATAATGAAAACATATATTTAGACTGCTGTTTGGCAGTGAGTTGTGTTTCATCAACAAGATGTACGCATCCACACGAATGGAATTGGCATATACTCCCGTTTCACATAACCGCTTTAAGTGTGCTGCGTGAATAACATTGGTTTACACGTGGAGCTGCGGTGGCTCAAGTGGACGCTGAACTGCAGGCTGTGGAAGGTCGGTAGTTCAGCAGTTCGAGACCCAGGTGCCGCATGACGGAGTGAGCTCCCATCTCTAGTTCCAGCTCCTGCCAACCTAGCAGTTTGAAAGCAAGAAATTGCAAGTAGATAAATAGATACCACTTTGGTGGGAAGGTAACAGCGTTCCGTGCACTTTGGTGTTTAGTCATGCCGGCCACATGACCACGGAAACGTCT